GATACTCATTGGGGTATCATCAATTGATGCCCACTCTTGATAAGTGAAGGTTAGCCATTACAATTTTGAGTCTCTTCAACCTTTTTATGGATAACCATTGTTGTATCCTTAAATGCACATTTCTGATGAGTTCCGAACGCTCGATCATATTAACTGAACACTACTCTGCCCCAGGTTAAAAATGAGGATTTTTCTGAATAGAAAAGAAACTCCTGCTTCAAGGCTCAAAGGGGTTAACAAGGGTTTCACTCCCTTATATCTCCGGTGTTTGGGAATTTGAAACAATGCCTGTACATCGTCAACAGGGTTTTATTAAAAAGCATACAACCAGAAACTTTGCATTTTAAATTCATCATCCTCTCCCCAAACCATGTCTAGGCAAGAGAATGGATAACAATTTGGTGTCATAATGCAAAAATCAATTTAAAATTAAAAATAAATATGAGTGAAACGAATGGATTTCTTCACGACAAACATATTCATTGTATTAAGATAATCATTCAAATGTAAACAAGTTCTTACATGCAAACAGTACGATGATTAACAAGAAGAATTACAAATGAGAAATCAGTAAAATTGCCAGTAAACATGAGAAAGCTAATCATCTTTGAAATCCAGGGCATTCTTTAATCACGTTTATTCTTTGGCAAATACTTGGCTTGAACTTCGAGACAAATATCTGTAAGTGATAAGATACCACTTCTGACCAATTTATGGACTTCAGCTTTTAATGGATAACATTGTTCAATACAATGCCCAGGGGCTCCCTGATGAAAAGCACAAGTCAAATCAGCTTTGTAGTACCAAGGTATCTTCTCAGGAATCTTAGATGGAGGTCGAGTCTGAACCAAATTCCTCTGTATTAGGATAGGAAACAACTCTGTATAAGTCATTTGAATTGGATCAAACTGAGCTTTCTTCTGATCAGGAACTTGCTGATTCTATTGACAAACTAGAGCGGCTGGAGGTAAATTGAACACAGGGATGACAGAAGAAACATGCTGATTCTGATGCTGTTTGTTTCTTCTTCTGGTTCTCTTCTTAGAAAAATTATTACCAAACTTTTTCACACTACTGGTTGTGCCACTGTCTTCAGATAAACATTCCTTTCGGATATTATCTTCTAGGAGCACTCCCACATTCACTTCTTCTGGGAAATCATTGGGTGTATTGACTATCACCTTCTCAGGAAAGAATGATTTCAGAGTTTATGTGAAGCCTTTTGCCATCTCTTCTTCCTTCTTAGAAGGATTGACTTGGGCGGAAATCAAAGTTTTAAACAAAGCAATTAGATATTCCATATAAGCCTTCAAAGTAGTTACCTCTTTGCGGAGTTCAAATATCTCTTGCTTAATGCTTTCCATCTTCCCTTAGCACGAGTGTTGTACTGATGAGACAACTTGATTCAAACGACCAAAGGACCTTGGGTAAGACTTCTGTGGAACTCATGAAATGTATAGTCAAACGTAACATGATGCATGACATGCAATACAAATTCCATATTCTTATTTCCAAAAGTTCATACACTTTTATTCCAGTTATTAAGCCACAATGTTATTATATATTCTTTTTTCATGTATTTATTATATATTATTTTTTATGTTTATTTTTCGTCTTAACAATTGGAATCAAGGAAGTAATGTTTGGAAGAAAAAATAACATGTATGCTGATAATTATATTAACATGCTATGTATGCAAACATATGGGATCAAAGCTTCTACGGTACTAGATAACTGCTGAACTAATAACAGAACCACTTTCATATGTAATAAGATCAAAGGTCCGGACCAATTCAGAATACCAAGGATCAAAGTCATCAGTATAATCAGAGTCACCAACGTAACATGTATAGTCACCATCCGTACCTGTAAAGATTATTCCCTCCCCATTCACGGGTAATGACTAGGTCATGGTAAGGTCAATGGTAACTCAGAATCGAGGGTACTCCTGAAAAACTATCGCCATATCACCTACGTGAAAATGATAGCCCATCATTTGTACCTCATCTGAGTGTGGACGACATGGCGGCATAGTGAAACCTAAGTCAACTAGTTGTTCATGTTCCACTCTATTCCTAGTGTTCCTGTGGTTTCCACTTGGCCTGGGTATTGGGCCTTTTACCTCATAGTAACACCCACCCAACAAAGAAACAAAGAAACCAGCACGACAACAATATAAAAAATAACAATAAAGATGCAATGCAAACATATGCTCAAACATATAAAAATGAATAATCCATAAAAGCATAGTGATAACCACCCTAAGAAAACAAAAACGGGAGCTAGGATTGACTCACGGGATGAACCATCAATTGGTCGACATTTTCTCCCCAATGAAGTCGCCATTTTTCTGTAGCGGTAAAATCAATGAAGTCGCCATCGAGTATTTATTTATCCCATAAAAGGGAAAGGAAAATCATCGAAGAAAAACCTAAATGGGGAAATCAAGGTCTTGCGACCGAGAGATTGGGTAAGGGAGTCGATTACGCGAGGGGAAGGTATTAGCACCCCACACTTCCATAGTACTCTACGGGATCCACTCTCGTCATTCTAATCAAAGGGTGTGTTCAATCTAATTCTTAAGGGTTATAAACTCAGAGGGAATGCATACAAAGAAAAAACGGGGAAAAGAAGGAAATATTTACAAATTTTCGCTCGGCTGAGCCTCGTGACCAGATGCCTATGTATCCCCTTTAAGGAATCAGAGCGCCGTAGTTCGGCTCATATATTTTTTTGTTTGTATTTTTAAATGCACAATGTTGCATTTGATCATTCCACCGCTGCTCGACCTTCGGAGACTCACGACCTGTAGTGGAAAGGAGCTAAACATGCTCTTAGAAGAGAAAGCCGAATGGCGAAAAGAAATGGATTGGTTGGTATTTTTTTATCATGAAAAGAATTTTTACATGCTTAGCATTTTTTATACATTTGCCAAAAAAAGGAAGTTTTAGTTTTAAGTGCAATTATGCAAAAATGGGAAGAGAACATCTAAGGGAGACTAACCTATCTCTAACCTAATGTTATCATACAATGAGGGATCCTATCTAAGTTAGCATGACAATGAAAGTCTAACATACTACCCTATAGGGAACATGCACTGAGAGCGAAGTCGTGATCTCAATTTCTAAATTGAGTGACTCATCGATCAATAAGAAATAAAGGAAAGCGATAAAATCCTATAGGGAGCATGCACTGAGAGCGAAGTAGTGATCTCAATTTCTAAATTGAGTGACTCATCGATCAACAAGAAATAAAGGAAAGCGATAAAATCCTATAGGGAGCATGCACTAAGAGTGAAGTCGTGATCTCAATTTCTAAATTGAGTGACTCATCGATCAACAAGAAAGGAAACAAACACAAGCATAACACATATAAGAAATGAAGTGCGGAATGCATGCTACAGGTCTTTAAACAGGGACTTCGAGCGCACTCTCTTTATTTCCTACTTCTCATGATATCTAGAAAGAGATAAATACGCAGAAAAATAAATTGGAAGCAATATAATACCAAACAAACAATAAAGTCTGCAAAAAGTGAAACCGAAGGAAAGAAACCCAGAATACTTCGCGCGAGCTGACATCAATAAACAAACAGTCAGAGATCGAATGCTCGGAATAGGTGTCGAAGCTTCATCGAAGTGAAAATAAATCACAATCGAAATCCAAACACATCCGCATATCAAATAATGAACCTGCATAAGATTCAAATCAACAACAAAGGTGATTCATAAGTTTCAAGTAATCAAAAATTAGGGATTAATTTCCAAAATCACATAAAAGTCTAACAAAATTTATTGATCTTGTAGTTTATTACCCTAAAAAAAAGAGGAAATCCCAAAATCTATACTTTTTTATTGCTTTTTTTTGTTATATGTATTTTGCTACTACTTTTATTATAAAAGGAATTTAAGCCAAAACTTAAACAAAATCTAGAAAACATAGGAAATATAATTGGTCAGGGGGGTGTTAAATGGAATGGAGGTGTATAGACATGAGACCTGCTGAATGAAGCCCAGGCAATTTTTTTTTGCAAGGTAGAATCTTTCAAAAAAATGATGATGGGCTTAGGGGGATTTCTGTTCAGCCCACTCCAACATTTATTCCTTTTCAACATTGTTAACTATACAACACAGTCATTAAGCTAAAGAAAAAGAAAAAAATTGAATGAGATGAGGATATGATGACACAATGCTACTGTGAACTGAGCTAGGGTTATAAATTGGGACTTTTCGTCTCTCCAAGAAGACATCGAATTCTTTCTCATTACAAACTACAGCGGCACGACTCTTCCGTCAACCTACGCCTCTCTTCATGTTGTTCATCACTGATTCCTTCACGATGGCTTCATCTTCTCCATTTTAAATCTCTGTTTCACCCAACTTTGAAGATAAAAAAATTAGGGATATTGAACCCTAGATTTTCTAATCCACGAAAATTGCGCGAGAAGGTGGTTAATCGACCTCTAAATCACAATGCAACGCTAAAAAAAACTAAAACGATACCTCATGATGCCTAACTCACGACGGTGGCGGTAGAGAGGTGTCTGAGATTCACATAACCAGGTACTCTTCGGAATTCTTTATTTCTCCTCACTCCTAATTTTCTTCTACTCTTCTTGTTATGGTTCTGTGTACGATTTAGATCATTTCTGAGGTGTTGCCATGTCGTTGTTGTTGCGCTTGCAGAATGGAGATCGTTAAAATTGCGACGATTTGCTAATGCAGTGATGATGATGAAATTGTATCAAGAAAATGGAACAGAGAGAGAAAGCTTCGATTGAAGAAGATTCTTGAGGTGAGTTTTTCTGATTGGTAAATAATGACCCCTTTGCCAGTTTTTCTTTGTGTGAATGAATAAGGAATCACAAATCACTTCTCCCTATCCCCTTTCTGGTATCTTATGTTATCTCATTTCTGAACTTATTGAATCGGCATGACTTGCAGGAGTTGATGTTGCAATATCGCTACGATAATATTGATGACGCGAGATTCTTGCAACAAATTAAAGCTTATTGCAGCAAGATGATGCTAACGTTTGAAGAAAACCATGGATGATACCGATGCGTTGATCATTGACACGAAGATGATGATGAAATAATGGTTTCGGTGCAATTATGATGAAGGTTGTAGAATCAGTGAAGATGTTGTGTGAAGGATGCCGAAAATGATGAAGTAGGTTGAATATGCAGAGGTCTAGAAATGGATGATGATTGAGGATTGAAGTGTTGTGCATTCAGAGAGAGATAGAGAGAATCAAGGTCTTGGATGAAAGAAAGAATGGAAAGTTAATGATGACCAAGATAATCAAGGTTCCAAATGACTCCCCTCGTAGAAAAGGTGAGTCTTACAATTTTTTGTTATCTGTTCTGAATCTGTTAGCCTTTTTTGTTAGGAATCTGTTAGCTTCTTCTCCCTAATTCGGTTATTTCTGTTCTCCACCCCTCCCCATTTCCTCCTCTCTCTTCTTTTGTTAGCATTCTGTTATAAAGCAGTAGAAATTTTGTTATATCAGAATTGACTTCAACCATTGATTTTGATTTTCGGTTATTCGATCCAATGGATGAGACTCCTCTGATATAAGGTTAGGTACGATTGTTATAGCAGTTAGAGATTTGGATCAGTAGATGCAATAGATTTTTGTTATGACGGTTAGGAACTCAGTTGAAAAATCAGTTAGAGTTGTTATAGTTATTTCTGATTAATTTCAGTTTCACTCTCATCTATTTATCAGTCTTTTTCCTTATTATTGACAGCTGATGTTCCATATCAAAAGGGTCCGTTTGATCAGACTTCTGGGTGAATCTCAAATACGTTAATAAAGCTTGGCTTAGATTCACAGCCAATTTGCATAATTCCTTAAATGCCACAAATGCTAGCTCTGGATACTGTTTTTTGTGGTAATAGTTGTACCGTAACACAACTGAGTGCACATGCTTTGCAACTCTCCGTTGTTGAGATAATGGAGGATCATCACCAATAGGTACATTTTTGACAATATGCTTGCTTTCTTCTTCATTTTAAGATGGAAAAACTATAGAATTTCCCCCACCTATACCTGGCTTCCTTGACAGAATCACACTGTTTAACTGTACCGCGAGCATTGTTCTTTTTCTGATTAAGAGCTTCAATAGTATCATTTGAGTGATGTTGCACTGATGGATTTAAAATCTTTTGATCTTTTTGGCCAACTGGTTTAGTGGATAACTTTTCTGAATTGGATTTTATGTTTGAACTGGTTTATTGTGTTTTCGGCTAATCAGTTTTACAGGGCTGCATATGAATTTACTCACTTTTCTTCTCCTGTGTTTGCAGCACGACATGCTCCTGACATTCATGTGGGCTTGTGTCAATTTATTGAAACAGGTCTATTTCGGTATATGAGCATGGTTGATCGGTTTTGGATAAGTTGAGAGGAAGCATATGAATATGGTTGAGACATTCGAAGGTGAGGCATGAAGATTGAATTGTAGATATGAATCGGTGGAGATGGAAGCACAAACATGGTAGCCATTAGGTTTAGGATTAGGTATATGTCTTATGTATAATTTCTTGATGTAATATCTTGAAAAATATGAACAATTTGTCTTATTTCTTGAATTCCAAAGAACTAAACTTGAACGAATATGGAGGTATTTGAATTTCAATCTTCAATTGAATGAAATACTGGAATCCATGACCTATGGTTAATAAATATCGAGTAACCTTATAATGAAGGCATATTGATATCTTTCGCATTTTTGAATTTCTTTTGACATATCAATACTGACGCCATAGCGAACTATGAACCAAAGCCTTGAGCCACTTTGTCACATTGAACTCATAGCACATTTGGATGAACCCCTTAATTTTGAGTCCACATTACCTTGCAATTGGAGAAACTTATCTTAATTGAATGACTGATGACCTTAGTCCATATTTCAACCAATCAAAAGACATATCAAAGCAATCATTGGCCACAGTAACTCTCTTAGAAGAAAAATGCCTTGCTCCCAATGAATCCATAATTTCACATTTTGTGCCATGATTCATGTTTTTGAACTTTAAACCATAAAGGCATCATAACTTGATAACCAACAATCATGCAACGGAATTAAAGCCCTGAGAAACAGGTTGAAGATGAATGATAAGACTTGAAGTATGAAATCTAATGACCTTAAGTTGAAACATTGACAAACTCAACCGCCATGGGTAAAAACCCTAATCCACTGATAAGTATCATAATAAGAATAAGATGTCGATTCAATCCTTTAAACTTCTTAAAAGTAATATGTTATGGTGAAGACAATTGGGAGGAAACCCCAATTCTCTTGATTTGGATACATGATGATGAGGAGACGACTTGAGGTATTGAGAGGAATCAAAACCCTAGCTCGTGGTCTGCTCAATTGCAAGACATGATGAAACCAAGAATGATGAGAACGCCAGTTGAACCAACTTTGAGTAAGGTAACAACCTTAATTCAAAGAGAAAAATCCTAATTCCAAAGCCTTTGATCTCGTATCCATGGAATCGATGATATGCATGAGACGCATATGATATGATGAGGTATCTTAGGGGCAAAAATTGGGGTATAACAGTAGGGTTGCTCTTGGAACACTTCTCTTGTAGCGACTTTTTGCATAGTAATAAATTATCCTAATTCGAAAATTGGAGTTGGGGGGAGACGTAGCCATAGCGAGGACGATTGGAGAACTTCCTAAAAAAATTCTCGTGTATCTTTTTATTATCCCTTTACTTGCTTTAATTTTCATTAATCAATTTGTCAAATAGCATTGAGTAATCAATCGACTCATAAGAATTTTTCTGTGACTGTTTTTGTTTTGAATTGTGTGTTGATTAGCTTGTAATCACTTTTGATTATAATTTCTTTTTTATATCAACACAACTCAAAGGAAAATTTTGAAAATTAAGCCGCACACCAAGTGTTCGACAAATTATTTTGTTTGTTCTTTTGCTAGTTACCACTAGAAATAATATTGCTAGTAACTTGCTATAAATGATTAATACTTTGCTACTTGATTGAAGTTTATAAATTCATTATTATATTGTTCATTATATATATATATATATATATATATATATATATATATATATATATATATATATATATATATATATATATATATATATATATATATATATATATATATATATATATATATATATATATATATATATATATATATATATATATATATATATATATATATATATATATATATATATATATATATATATATATATATATATATATATAACATCTAATAACTTGGTTCGTATAGACGGCAAGTTTTTATCTATATCAAAGCCTTTCGCGTGCACTCTTTTTGAACTATTTCTAAACCCAAAATTTTTATCTGAATTTTTAGGCTTGGTGATCTATTCACCCCATCCCCTCTAGATAAGGCGTGGTCATCTATCAAGTGGCATCAAGAGCCTGGTTAATTCCGGCTTCAAAACTTATTAGAAAATGGTGTACGAACTTAAAAGAGCCCCAATTTTCAAGGGAGAAAAATATAGTTATTGGAAAACTTGTATGCAAATTCATGCCAACTCATATGACAAAGGTGTGTGGGAAGCCATTCAAAAAGGTACAACACCAGTGACATATGAGGTTGATGGTGTTGTTACACTAGAGTCGTAAAATTTATGGAATGAAGAAAATAATAAGAAATAGGCACATGATTGTCAAGCGAAAAACATTATCATATCCGCCCTTGGTGTTGATGAGTTTTATTGAATTTCCCATTGTGATACCGCTAAAGCTATGTGGGATACTCTACAAGTTACCTATGAGGAAACTAATGAGATCAAACAAGCTAGAGTTAATACACTTAATCAAGAGTTTGAACTCTTTTGCATGAAGCATGGTGAAACCATTGCTCAAATGTAAAAGCGGTTCTTGCATCTTATTACTCATTTAAATTTGATAGGCAATCCTATTTCCAATATTATTGCTACTAAAAAGGTTTTGAGATGTCTTACTAGGTATTGGAAACCAAAGGTCGCCGTGATCAAGGAAGCCAACAATCTTGTAACACTTGATCTCACCACTTTGTTTGGAAAGTTGGAAGAACTCGAGCAAGAGCTCAGTTTCTTGGATAAACATGAAAAGAAGCTTGAGAAAAAGTAGAAAAATGAGAAAGACATTGATAAGGAGGAAGGAACGAAGTCTAAAGCTCTTAGGGATTCAAGTTCAATATACTCAAGGGATGAGCACACTAATGATAGTGATTCTTGTGATGAAGAAGATTCAGATAGTGAGCAAAAGGGATTATTTGTGAGGAGATACAATTCATATTCAGAAGAATATTGTCAAACACTCCGACAAAAACCTTGTGAAATTTAAAAGACAATCTACATCCTCCAAAGATGAAGACAACAAAAGAGATAAGGCAAAAGGTATGTGCTATGAATATGGAAATCCGGGTTATTTTATGTTGGATTGCCTATCTCTTGCTAATAAGAAAGGAAAGGGCCAATGAAACAACTCTGGGAATTATAGAAAACCTATGTTGCTTGGGATAATGATAGTGATGTCTCAAGTAATGAAAGCTCAAGTGATAGCGATGAAGAGGAAAATTATTGTTTCATGGCATATCAACGTCAAAGCAAGAAAAATAATGTAAGCCATTCTAAATACTCTAACGTTGATAAGTTGTATTTTGTTGAATTGAAAAATGCTTTTGAGAATCTACAAAAAGAAGCATTATATGCTTATAAGAAATTGGCTTCCAATAAAAAAGTTTTTACATACTTGGAAGAAAAGGTTGAAGAAACCAATAAGAAATTTGAAGCATTAAAGCAATCTATTGTAGATAGTCAAAAATTCTAAAAAGAAGGATAATGAACCTTGTCCGTTCAATTGTAAAACTTGTAAAATTTGGCAACAAGAGATGAGTACTCTTGAAATCAAAGTGGATAAGGAATTACAACTTTATGATACTTTTTCTATTAGTTTTTCAAAGATTGAAAAGCCTCATAAAAAGTATAATTTGATTAAGAAGGATTCAAATAGAAAAAGTGAATCTCATCATAGTTTATTTTATAACTATTGTTGCAAGAAAGACCATGTGATGTGGTGGGAGAACTGGCTTGAGGTTTTGCGTTTGTGTTTGCAAATGTTGCGGTTAGCAAGAGTCGCCACCGACTTTTTTTTATCTAATAAGGAAAGGTAAAAAGCACATGAAAGACCTTTGAGATTGTTTTTGGGTTCGGGGGGTAGATTATGAAAAGGGAAGGTGCTAGCACCCTTTTAATCCATGGTTTTCCATGGGCTCTTAGTTACTTGTTTAGATCACTTGCTTTGCTTTTGAAATTGTTTGAAATGGTGCTTTGTGTGGTTTTGAAAGTATTTTGAAAAGAGGCCATCGTTTAGGCAATCTTTGTAATGATTCTCGTTCGTAAGAATGTATACAAAGATGTTTGTCTTTTGAAAAAATGTTTCAATGTTTTGAAAGTTGTTTGGAAATGTTTTGAAAATGTGTGTGTTTGTTTGAAAATAGCAAGAATTTTTTGTAAATTGATCAAGTAACTAGAAGCTTATCTACCTACTCAAATGTCTTTCCTATGTATTTTTATTCCTTTGACATTGTTGATTTACCATTGATTTGGTAAACAACCCTATCTTTGGATGTTAAACGGGATGGGCGTGGGTCATCGTATGACCATGATAGCAATATTTCCAAGTATCTTAGTAAGTTTTGAGGGACTAAGATCATTTTGTTTTAGGCAACCCTTTTGATAGCGTCATCGAGGGACTATGATCTTTTGTTTTGTTTTTGTTTTGCCAAGATACTTAGCATGTATACCATGGCCATTTTGTTAGGAAACCAAATGGGTGAAACCCTAGGGGTGCTTGTGTGCAATGTGTTGTCATTTTACATGCTTTTGTTTGCCTTGTATTAGGTCATTCTATTTGTTTGATTTTTGTCTTATCATGTAAACCCTAGTTTTACTAAACATGGTATAATGCGATAAATTGCGTAAAATAAATCTAAGCTATTACAACAATTATTATTGGAGGGGGGATACAAGTTTTTGAATGGGGATATTTTCACAAAATAAAATCCTAAAATACTATTACAACCCAATTGAATTATTGTGCAAAATAAATAAATAAACAATTATTTAAATATGCAAATAAAATGTAATCATGCAAAATGTTTTGTATTTGATTTCTTATATGAGAAAATGATTTATTAAACCCTAGAAAAAGAGAAAAATAATATGGTTAATTTTGAAAGGGGAAACCCTAGTTTTTGATTTAAAAGAAAATATATATTCTATATTGATTTTATTCATTTTGTTCAAGAAAAATAATAATAATATTATGTACAAATATTAAAAATTAAATATGTATGAAAAATAAATATTTAATATGTATAAAATAGTGAAATAAAATATTAAGTATTTTTTTATTATTTATAGGTTTATTTAAGAAAATAGAAACCACTTGTCAAAATAAACTATTTTTATGCAAAAAATAAATAAATAAATAGAATAAAATGTGAAAATAAATAAATTATTTTTGGCGATTTTTTATCATTGGAGAAAATAAATGCAAGCAATAAAATAAAAATATGCAAGAAAAATATGAAAATATTAGAAATAAGTCAGGGGGTGCAAA